AATACTCCAGAAATCTGTACTCAAACTAATTACTGTCATCTTTATTCGGAGGCCAAAACACTCACTTATGTAAAAGCTGACGTTGATACCACAGAAAATCAAGATAATCTATTGAAAATGCACTTTTAAGCTATCATTATTGTAATCCGTACCTCAAAAATGCACAAATATATCAATACTACGGCAATCAAATGAACAAGTTGTGTATTAAAATTACCACTGGTGACTGACTTCAATCTACCAACAACGTCTCTATGAAAAGCGGGCCAAATTGCGAGCATTATGCGACCGCCTTGACAATATATTTAGCCTAGGGTGGCTACGTATGTAGAGCGCTGATTGACATGCTCTTTCATGATATTAAAAGGATGTTCAACACTGTTTTTTATATAAAGATTGTCGTCTGTACACACAAAGTCGTACCGGTAAGGACATGCGTTGGGCTTTATTCAATCATCAGTATACCAAGTAAGGTAAAACAGAGATAACTAATCTCCCTATCGTTAAAGGTGTTCTCAAAATTAGCAGCAAAATGGCACAAAATTACCTATAGAAGAACCAGACAGGGATATCAAATAGAAGAAGAATACGGCATACCATTCACAGTTGGATGTGCATGATGTGGTCTTATCCTCTATCAAGAAGAGCATAAACTGATGCTGCCTAACTGGTCATAGGCACCCACTGCAAATTTGTGGCGATGCTCTCTGTGTCACGATTGAATTTACTTACTCCGAAAATTATTGTAGAGGCACTCGTTTGAGAGATAAATATTTTCATACGAGCATCAAAGCTCGTTCAGTCTTCAATAAACTTAGTGCTGTCATTTAGGTTCCAGCTTACAATGGAAAGCCGTGTATCTCAGGCTTCCGTACATGTTGCTTTCAAGCGCCGATGTAGAGAATGAGGCATCGAACCTGATGAAATTCGTTGGCATGTATTCGCGACTGGATACCAATGAAAAATCTTGAACTAAAAGTGGTTGTGGTCAGCCATGTAAAGCCATTCACTGTGTTTCACGCCAACTGGAACTCAGGTGGGTGGAACGAGATTGGTCACTTGCAGCTTGGGTTCACAGTCTCTATCATCTGCAGCGGTTACTAGTTACACTTGCTCTCACGGTTATTCCTTTGGTTCAGGCCACTGTTCGAAATTTGATTATGGTGATGCCTTATTCTTAACTCTAAGCAGTTAATAATAATATGCCTGTCTTAAGGAGCCCTGCTAGTACGCAATGGATTCGATTAGAAGGGAAAATTAGAGCTTTCTAATAAACTTCAACAAAACGTGTTTCACCGGGATTTGCTGTACTGTCTTCAATTTCAAGATTGGGACCCCAAGACACAGAATGCTTTTGACTTGAGACATGCTCTAAAGCGGCACAAAGTTGAGACCAGTAGTAATATTTTACTTAAGCAAGTCTTGTCCTTTTTACTCTCATTTTTAATTTTGACTTAGCATACCGCTCTACCTTGGAGCACAAAATTGCAAAATGTACGTATATTTGCATTGGAAGACGTGACCGGGTTCACTGCAAAATAAATTGTTTCAATCTATACTCAGCTAGTTTCCATGAAAAAACCTTACGTTATAGTATGTCAAAAGCCTTGAAAAATCTAAGTCAACTAACATAAACCACTAGCTGCTGCCTAGTCTTACTGCCAATCTATTTCACACGAGAAGCAGTTTGGGGGAGATAGGAGTAAAATTTTACATAAATGTTGTGCTGTTGTGCTGGGTCCGGATCATTGACTTATGGGTAAACATAGTACTTCTGGCGTCTTGGAGTTAATATAAAGCTAAAGTTAGAGTATTCAGAAAATCAAATTTCCAATTAATGTCTACGAATTACTTACAGATTGCTGCAGTTTTCCTTTGGATGTCGCGCGAAGCGGCATGAGTGCATAAAGCTAACTCTTTTATTTTTATTATCGTGCTACAAAATACTCTCTTGTTTTTGTTCCAACGATTGGGAAATTAATATCTTCGTCGGTTAGCAATCCGTATCCAAATACCTATCATTAACCGAAATACTTTATTGCATGGGCTGAAAAAAGGCTAATCAAAAAGACTCAGTAAAAAGTGTAAAGTAACAAATATATCTATCTGCTTTTTTACAAAAATGAACATCAGCCCGTGAAATCCATTTTTGCATAATACAATGTTTATGTAAAAGACAAAGGAATGTTGCAGTATTTGGCTACTGTGAAAAAGTCAGTGAGCTACTAAGTACAATGAAGATAGCCAACGTCACTCTAATTTTAATGCATTTAACTTTAGTAGCTCAAGAAATGGTCAGTAATCAGGCCGAGAAACTCACTCCACCAATAAACAAACTTAAAAAGGATTTATTTAGAATACAATGGGATTTCCGCCGAGTGAAGGCAGAAGAATCTTGCTACGAACCTGTGAAATGTCTACAAAATCTTGACGACTACTCTCATCTGCGCACTAATTTGGTTTCAACGGAAGATCAGATTGTAAACAGCCATACCACTTCCGTACGACGGTCTTCTTCTTCCACCCAGAACCCCCATGTTTTAGCTAGAAAAGTCAGTTTTAAACTCAATATTTGGCTAAACTTAGTTAAGTATGCTGTCGAAATCAATTGGAATGCAAAAAAACACAAGGTTGACCAACGATCTGAAAACAAACCCATACGATGAGCTTCGAGAAGGGAAAAGCCGGTGGTGGGCTGCTGAGGAGTTTTCAGCACCCATGTAGAAAGTCCGCAATGTCCTTGAAAGATAATCAGAAATCGCTAAATAAAGTTGAAAAATCACAGCTAAGTTACGATTTTAATTTGGCGTTGTGTCCAACATATTTGAGTCATCATCATAAATAATATAATCCATAATGATATACATTTTGCTTTTCACCTGCTGACTGCCATTTTAACTCAAGTCATTATGCGAAAGCTGGCCGTTGAAATGGTACCTGGCTCGCCGTTAATGACAGGTCCTGTCACACCACAGTTTTAAAGACTTTTTTCTATGCCTCTACTTGTATTTATAGATGGTAATGTCCGTTGTCTACAAGAGTTCACTGAGTGAAGGCTGAAGACGATTTCCAAATATTCTGGGTTTAGATGATAGGCCACTTAAATGGAAAGTTTGATCGGAAGAAACTGTATTGTAGTAGCAACGTTGCATTGCTCTCAAAGAAAAAGACATTACTCCAATATTTGTTGTTTCCACTTTGGAAAAATATCGTATTCACTGAAGTGCGCGATAAAACCTACGGTATTTCACGAACAACTCACCAAACAGGTCATGCTTTTCTGCTGTCAGCGAGGGGTTTCGTTCAGTGGCGATAAAAATATCAAAATGATCACACATATGGATAATATTTTTTGCAACGAACCGCGCTTGACAGCCAAAATACGATAAAATGCGAAGACTATGTGCCCAAAGAACATTACGCAAATAACCGATGGGCTATACAACTTGGGATAAAGGCTAGGCCAGGAATATCAACCGACCTTAACTAGGACTAATCCGGACGCCCAAAGTAACCTCTTTGGTTTCACTGATGGCGTTAGGATCAAGCAATGAACAAGACCTACAAAGAGGCTTTGAAAAAAGCTGCGCTCTCCTTTGTTCTAGAATCAAATGGATAGCTAACATAACAAGGTAAAAGCTAAGTAAATATTACTAGCCTCGAGTATAAAGCAAGAACCCTCCATTTTTTCAAATTTCCAAACGTGAAGTCAGAGGTCACCATAAACACACTAAAGTGCCTGAAAGAACGTGAAGATAAAAGCTCCCTAATTCGTCGCCGGATGTGATTCTTTAAACTTGAAGTAAACCAAACCGGGGATTATGGAAACACCCTCTGATATGGTTCGGGTCATGGACTTTACATAATCAAGAATGAACAGCTACAAAGTGCACAACCAGGTCAATGAGCGCGCCATAATGACTGATTAGGAGACTGAATAGAATGGAAAAGTTATACGTCTTCAAGAGCAACGTCAATGATGGCATAAAAAGACTGACAAAATAAAAAAAATTGGTGAAAATAAGAGTCAAGGTTTTTCAACCAGTGTTGGTGGTGTTTGAAGGAAGTATAATGTGGGAATTATCCTCAACAAAAACGTGCCCCAACTTACTCGCAATTTTGCGCTTAGTATTGGAGGGTTGATGATGAGTTGCAAACAGATCAACACAGTTTTTACGTGTTTGGACCGCATTCGGTAGACAGCATGATTGACTTTTAGCCAGTAGATTATCCTACTTAAATAATCAAGGTGAAAATTGTCGTTCTAACTAGATAATTCCTGTACAGCTTATCTGAATTCATTGTCCACATTAGTTGAATGGGAAAATAAGTTGAGGGACGATAATTTCGTTTGCTGGCTTTTGGGAAGAAAGACTAATCATTTACTATTGAAGAAACATGCCTAAGCGGTGAGTCCCAATCTGAGTAAAACTGGTTGTGGGCTACTATTACCCCACAGGCTCAATGCGGTCGTTTAGAAAGACGCACCACAACTAAGAAAATATCATCACTTCGGTGCAGAGAGCGTGCAAGAAGCTCTTACATACCACAGTTCTTACGGGAAGCTGCCTGCAATTAAGAAGCATTTTCGTACCTTCCAAAGATACCTTTTGGAATGTTTGAGTTTTTCAGTTGCTGACCTGTTTGAAAAACCTGTCAGCCGGAATGAATACTTGTCATCACAATTCAAAGTAACGTCATCAGTGCTGGGCTGAGTGAGAAATAGTTAAGAGCGAGCTGTTACTTGAAGTAGTTGCGAAAACCATTAGGTATCCCTGGGGCTCATGTCGGTGGGTATGAGTTTGTATGTCTTTCTGATCCTACCGGAAGATACAAAAACTTCTCTTTTTCTTTTCAGACAGCAGCTGAAGCATAAATACTTTGGATGATCAAAGCCCGAATTATGGTAATGACCAGATATTTGTTTATGCTGACACCACTGATTTGGTTGTGTGAGTTCTTTCTTTCCAGGTTACATTTTTGTAACATCACTTCTAGCTGTTCTTGCAGGTCCTGCATTGGCTCAATGTATAGTTCCGGCTTCATATGTGAAAACTCTATTTTCAATGGAGCTTGGAAAGGAAACCGTGACGCAGATTCTGCAAACGGAATTGATCCAAGATGTGCAGAAATTCCGCGGCAAATGCCACTCAATTTTGGCACAGAATCGTCGCCTAGAAAATAACGTCGAGGACGCATTGATTCTGTTCAAGAATGCGTTAGTTACTTCATTTGTTTGATGAACGATTTTGACAACTTTTATGGCCAATAGGACCAATGACTGCTATTTCTGCTACGATCTCATTGTGCGAAGTGCCAATGTAATTCAGTACAGAAGAAGTAAGTATCTTTTCAGTTGCCGTAACTAGTTTATCTCAAGGTCAGTGTGGAAGCTTGGGAGCGGGTGACAACGGAAGCACTATTTGCAACACCCTGGTAGATGCCGAACTGGAGACTGGCTTTGTTCGTGCCCGAGAAGATTACTCTGACTTCAACTGTAAAAGTATTCTTGAAGGAATCTATGCCTTCGATTATCGGATTGTGGGAAATACCGGACTGTGCAGCAGCCCATTCAGTACAATCAAAGCATGCCAACGACAAGGATCTCCTCTGCGAGACAATTCAGTGTTTGAACAGACATTTGGCTATTGTCCAAACTTCCAAGATGTATCCATCCTCGAGGATCCGAATATTGTATTCGGCAAGGCAAATATTTGGCGATGTTACGGACGTTGGACCGATCGAAGCAACAATATCTGGGCTGCCATTGCATACGACACAAATCAACTCAGATTTAAGTATCGATGCCTTACAACACGCATTGATCAGCAGAATCCAACGGATTTGTATTACTGGGGTGAGTTCACTGGAGCAGCTGGCTCTGCGTTTCTTGCAAAAATACTCGATGCACTTACATTTAAAACAGCACAGTGATCATCCAAAGTACTTCAGTTACCTCCTGTGTAGAAAAAAAACCCTCTGAAGATGCTCATTACCTTGGGTAATTGTTTCGAGTTGACATCTTTTGGTGGAAAACCCTTGAAGATGCTCATTACCTTGGGTAATTGTTTCGAGTTGACATCTTTTGGTGGTATTTTCAGACTAAAACAACCTAACTTGCTTGGAATACATAATGGAGCGCATGAGATTTGTTGTCCGAGGTTGATCACTTAGTTAGTGTGTAGCATTTTGTACAATAAGTAAGAAAAAGGAGTAAAATGGATTGTAGAACGCGTGTTGGGTGGCGGTGGGAAGTTGGCTGGGAAGATGGCTGTCAGAGACACATTGGTTCGGCATTGATTGAGCATTAGTTCAATATCAACTTTTGTGAGAGTTTAAACAGATGTACGTTTGTATGAATTGTTTTCAAACACAATGATAGGGTTTGGTAAAGCTGATCGTGATTATCTCAACTGCGGATGAAAACTGGGTTACTATTGATCACAATCAATTTTGTTTGACCGTTAGTTGATGCAGAGGACCATAACTGTAACTGCCCAGTGAGAGAGTGGATTCGGTCGCTTGCGAAGCAGTGGCGCTTGAGCTGGATCCGAAAATGTTACAAGTTGGTGAGCGAGGATACATTTCGCTTACTGAATAGGACAGAAGCGTTTTTGAACGATTTGCATACGTTGCTTGATATGATTGTGCAAAAAGTCTCGCATAGTTGATGGTCGTACTGGCTGATAGGTTAACTAGATTTAAGCTTCCTTTCTCCCCTATATTTTGAACTGATTTGGAACAGGCTAGGTGGCACATATAATATCTGCTTTAGTTTCACAAACTTCATTTTTCTAAATTTGTGTCGAGTCACTAAGCAATGCACTGAGAACACTCGTTTTTACTGTAAGAAAGCGCCCACTGCCCTTCCCGCGAGACACTTTTAACTAACTGACCACAGGTTTTGCTGCTTCGAATAGCAGAAAAGTTTTCCGAAGCTGTATTACCAGAACTACCATTCATGAAATCTACATTTTGTAATGATCGTGTTAACTCAGTGACACACAATAAATAGGGTACACATGTATGAGCCTTGAGCAACAAAAATCGATAATTCACTGATTCAAATTCATAATCGTTGGTTTCGGGACCTTGCGTTTTTTAGTGGAGACGTCAACTAGGATAACTGACCACTGGAGAGATCATAAAACAGGCTGATTACGTTTTCGTGGGTAATCGCGCTGAGATTGCTCGAAGAACAAGTCAAAACTGAACTCTTTTGAAGGGTTTGATGACAATTTCAACGTTTCTGGAAATAATGTTTGGGTTCACATAATAGTTATTTGGACAGTCCTTTCCTTATCTTTGCGTAGTTATTCAGGTCGGTTTACACAAAAATCAGAGCAATGGACTCGGGTTTCTTTCGCACAGGCTCTCAGTAGCGCTGCATGTTCTTGACTGCGCAAGGATTTAACCCCCGGTCTTGAAACGCGGGTTAACAGCAGTCCAAAAACAGTGACAGGATGTATCCGAATTATCACGTCTAAAAATTAAACCCATTCACGTTTGAGGGACGACTGAAAGTACTACTTGGGAAGGGGCCGTCCCCAAAAGCAATGATATTTTGAAATAAAAATGTTCTGTTGGGTCTTTGGAATTTATTAGGCGTTCACATTACTCCGAACATTACAATGATTTTCGGAATCTTTATGAAATCATTCAAAAGGAAAACGACTGTATCACTTAATAGCCTGTTTGTTTACCAAGAATTTCCACGCCAACAACCTAAAACACCTCTGAGGAAACCTTAAGTTCATGCGGATAATGCCAATCTAGGGGTAATTTGATGGCACAATAGTTGATCGTTTTGTTAACTATTCCATTAGCTCCTAAGGCGCGTGCTGATTGTGAACGTATACACACAAACGAATATATATATATATTTATATATATATATACAGCAACATATGAAAACAAGTAAATGCAATTATATATACAGCTGTCAATTGGGTACTTTCTACTGATCATGTTGCTATTCAGATGAAATGCGAAACTCTTGCACCGTAACATTTAAGGGCGATGCATTGGTTTCTGTGTCAAAAAATCACAGTCCAGACTACCCCAGTCTCAATCTTGGAGCCACAAAAATATCGGTCGCCGGAAGTGAGTAGCAGCGATTTAAGGATGAATAGGGTTGCACTTTGTCGAATCACACTTATCTACAAACTATTGTGGTTTTAATTAGAAACTCAACCATACCCATCCTTTGTGGCGTTCGCAAACTGAATTGGCTACCAATTGGCCACTCCATATTCCAGTTGGTACAATATTCGGGAACTAGACCAAGAGAAACTAAACGAGCCATGGGATGTCTGAGAATTTTCAGCGAATTTAGCAGTAGCGAGCTGAGCCACCTCCTCGTGATGTCGACTGGTGTGGCGCGGACGTCAGTCTGGGTAAGTTAGGAGTTTAGCAACTCCAGACAATGCTTACTACTTTGTTCAGTTCCAATGTGCCGGTTACTTCCGACAATGTGCAGTACGGATCGTCTGGCGCCTTTGCACTAGTTCCAATCAGTACACAGGAGGGACTCGTGGGGCTCACGTGTGAGGAATGTGGCAAGTGCTGCAAGTCAAAAGCTGGCTTAATAGCCCACCATCGAGTTCATGAAAACGAAAGTGTTGGTACGAACTTGGTCACTCTATCGTCCTGCGCTGATTTTTCCCGCCTGAGTAAGCATTGCATGTACGCACACCTTGCCCAGCATTACGCAGATAAGCTTGGTCGAGTGAAGAGTTCGGGTGTCCGCTGATCCCAACAAGAGTCACAATAGCTCTTGCGGCTGGCTAACAATTTACACCCGTCTTGTGGCACACAAACTGCACTGTTTGTGCGATTGTTAGATCGGCTATCAGCACCAAAACCAGGTTACAGGTGTTTAACTAACAAGCACAACAAAACGAATCATCATCTGGTTACCCTGACCAAACCATCGGTCAAATAGCAGCCCTCTTGTCAGAAGTGACTATAGCGTCTGGTCTAAACAAATTGTGGATTGCGCCGTGTCACTTTTGGAATCCCATCCTGACAGTTCGCTTGCTAGTTTTGACCTTGTGGCAATTGCCCGAGGGTTGCAGTCTAGCATCACTGGAGCAAGTCCTGTCGCTTCTGAAGATCCACACCTCCAAAACATTTCCACACACCTGGATAGCTGTATCCCGACGCCATCGTCAGCAAGCCCATCGGGTACCGGTCAACCAAAAGCGGATCCGCTGAGCCAACTACGCCACTATCAAGGCCCTGTACCATCAAAGATGAAAAGATGCAGCGTCTGCCGTGCTCGATGGGTGATGGAAGAATCTATACGAAGGTAACTGTGGTCCACCTCTAGACACCAATCAGTATTGGAAACGGGTGCTCTCAGCTGAAAAACACAATGCTAGCCGGCTAAATCACGTAGTAGTACCGTCCGACCGGAGTCTGATCGAGCCAATTACAGGAGATGAGGTCGTTCGCATGATCCGTGTTGTGGCCTGGACAGGCTCACGCTCAGGATGCTCTGCCAGTTCAGTGCTAATGTGCTTGCTGAGTCTTCAACTTACTGTTATTATCTGGGGATAATCCCCAACACCTGTGCCGTGTTCATATTACCTTAGTTCAGGAGGTTCCAAATCCGACTTCACCGGACCAGCTGAGACCGATATTCGTGTCACCAATTCTTGTCCGATGCTTTCATAAGGTTCTTGGTGAGTGCTAGTGTTGTCGGTTGCGACTGCCCTCACAACAGTTTGAAATACACAGTCCCACGAACACACGGACTGTGGTCAGTCGTCAAAGAGTTTATTTTCTTACCGGCTGAAGCAGAGTTGAGAGGACTCACGTAATTCCTCCAACTTCCAGAGAATCACTTATCTGCAGGCTAAACACCCTTATTGAATCCACGCTTGACAAGTGAGGAATGCAATTTTCTCGGTTCATCGCAAAACTTACACTAGACTGCAAAACACGCACCTCAAAGTACTTCCTAGAGGAATGGTTCAACAAAATCTCTCCACCAACAGAATGATATGAAAGACCAATGTCACATTCAGTTCACTAACTCGGTCCACCATCACCGCTGACCTGGATCGCTGTACTTTCTATCCTTTGAGCAAAGCGGTTCTTCCTTGTCCACATTGTGCTGACTGAACCTACAGCAGAACAGCCGTACCGAGCCTACCTGGTGGCTTCTGTTCCCCAGCATCATGAAAATGGCAGAAAATTATTCTTAACCAGTAGAAAACTTCGATCTGCTCTGTTACAGCCTCACAGTACTTCTCTGGTAGATGTAGACGGGGCGTTTTAGTCTGACTTGGTTGATAGTCAAAAAGCATTCTATATTGGGGATAGGCGGTCGTCGCATATTTATTGCTGCGTTCTGGGAATTATTCTGTTTGTTAGAGCTATCCTGTGGTGTTTTCTGGTTCGGTGACATTAATTTCCATAGGGGTATTACTACTGGGAGGAACTACCTTTTTGAAACTAACTGATAAACTGACAGCCCGTTTTTTGAAGGGAAACAAAGGTTGTGTTAAATGGCTAACTACTGCTTATGTTTTTAGTAGTGGCGAATAAAAATAGGTCAGGACCCAACTGTCGCAGCCGCAGCATGCTGGTGGCAGGATCGAGAGTGTGGCGCGCACCTTATCCATGAGTACTGTTAACCACGTAGTGTGGAGCTCGAGAAGTCGAGTAAATATAGTGAAAGTGATGGAATAAAAGAAGCCGGGAGTTGGATTCATTTCCTATAAGTTGCAAACACAAAACGAGTGTTTTGCTACAGTAACGTAAATTTGACGTGCAATGAACGCTGTGGAAGGAAACATTGACAGAATTTTTGATCAAAACTCGGTGGTTACCATAGTAGCTTGTTGTCACAGCGGAGACGTGGGTTCTTCACTGCCTAAAATTCAACGGGACCTGTCAAACACTTGCTGAAGTGCTGTTGGGTAAGGACCGCGGGGGTACTATGCAGAACCCTATCACTGTCTCATAAGGAAACGTCGACCCAGGAACACCGTCCAGAATGATTATAACCTTGTAACCACAAAGTCAGGGATTAACATTGGTAATAATGACTCTGCACTGCATGTCTTTGAAATGGTATATCTACAGGAATTTTTGATCATGTGCATTTGAAGTAATATATCGATGTTTCTTCATTTCAGGAATGTCCACAGATGCTGACTGTAAGGTTGTGCATTCCTATCAGACCGCACCTATTCGTCTCGAACTGCGACCAGCGTTTGACCCCGAAACACAGTTGGCCGAATTGCAACCAGGTTGTAAATTGCCAACGAATTTCAGCGGTGCTTGGTTTTACCCAAGTGAATACCAGACAACGGTAGGTAGTGTAACAAGTTGGTTAAACTCATATGAATGCCGGACATCTCCGTTTCATTGGTTAGAATAAGTCCTTAATAAAATTTACGATTAAAAGTTTCACGGTCTTCAATTGACTAACTTCATAATCTGAGTCAGGAATTTTTCTATCTGCGCGGTGGTCAAAGTCGTTTGTCTTATTGCTATTTCGGTTTAACCAGTTTGAACAATATAGTTCATATTTATAGAATAAGTTGTAACAGAGTAAAAGCTTTTAGTTTCAGTTTGTAGCAGAACCACACACTCGCCTTGATGGAGGTCGCGACAGAATTACACTTACTTTTTGTTGGGACAATTATGGTATTACCTGTGCTTTAGCAATACATGTGCCATACAAGGAGACTATTGTCAAGATAGGTGGAAGTATCGGTTCATGTACTAATGAATAGAGCCTAAGGGGTCACGACAAAATTATCCAGCCTCCGCTGGCTGCCATATAAGGTAGCCTAAAGAGTGTGTGAGACTGGCTAGGTTGGTCAACATAAAAACGGATGAGACGGTAGGTCTGTTGAGGGGATTAATTTTGGCACGGGCTTTTAGGCACAGCATTAAATAAAATTCATGTATATTCAAATTTTGCGCATACAATCCATGGTTACCATAATTGGGGGCATTTAGTAGTTCCTAACGCCGCAATACACACAACGTCACAGGAAAACCATCACGTGATAATGGCACGAACAAAAATTACAAAAGATGTGGGAAGGTAAGTTTAAATTTTTACGCATTGAGGTACATGCTAGATGTCGCGGTCGGCACACAATAAGTGCAGCATAATTGTACAGGGAGTCACTTAGCCTACTTATATATATATATATATATATATATTA